AATTGTATCGCTTGTAGTGATTTACACAATACCCACAACCGAAAAAAAAATCAAAATATAAGTATGAAAAACTAAAAAATTGAAAAATCGATCGTGCCATTACATAAAAATTCAAACCAAACCACAAATAATTAAAGGAACTAAAATCAATAATGTTCATAATTTATTTTTAAAATAATTAATTTATTGATTTCAGTTTCAATAGATTGATCTTCCTCTGTAATTTTTTTTTACAAAGAGAAATTAGGAGACTGTAGAGAGAGAAGGATATTTGCAAAATGAGAAAATATAGTGTGTGTGTGTGAGGAGAGGAGAGGAGAGGAGAGGAGAGAGAATGAGGTTTTGGGCTGGGGAGGAAAGTATAAAGTGTGTCAACATATTAAATAATTAAATGATAGATAAAGCATAAATAGGTGGGAAACTTATCAATAAGTATTACTTTTTTCCACAAAAATCTATAAAGTCTTATCATTTTTATTTTATATCAATGAAGTTCTATTCTTGATATTTTATTTTAATTAAGTCTTAAATTCTATTCTATTTTAATGTTATACTTACCTTTTTGTTACTAAAATCCTTTCATTCTTTAAGAGGACAAAACTTCCTTGCTTTCAAAACAAAACCCCACAAGAAAAACTCAGATAGCATAAACTTCATGATAGGACACAAAGAAAGCTCACATTTTCTTATTTTCTTATCTCATTAGTGTACCTAATCTTAAAACCCTAGACAATATTTGTATGTTATTTAATAAAAATAAGAAAATTAAAAAAAACTACATCGATAATATTTGTTGATTAATTCCATTTTAATGTCGTTATCGATTCAAACACAACTACTAAAATAAATCTCTAACTTAATTATTTTAAATCCAATATAATATAATATGATTTTGGTAAGAATTAGCTTAAATTAATATTGATGTAGAATCTTCAATATTTTATTAATCGATTCTAAGAATGTAAAAGAATGAAAAAGTTTTGATAACTAATGGATAAAGATAAAATTATAATATAATAAAATTAAGAATTAATTGAAATAAAATATTAAAAATAGAACTTCATTGATATAAAACAAAAAAGATAGAACTTAATGGATATTTGTAGGAAAAATATTACTTATCGATAATTTTTTCTAAATAATTTGATAATTAATTATACCTAAGTAAAAAATAAATAAATAAATTATACCTAGGTAGAAAAAAAGAAAGAGAATGTGGACATGACATATTCTCAACAACCAGTACGCCTTCAAATCATTTGAAGTCTTTTCAGGCTGGTTCACTAGGTGACTCGCTAAAAGCCCATTAGGATCACCAAACGGACAACCCATGGATTTTCGTCTAGATTGGGCTTGCTTAACCCATTGACCAATCAAATTCCCACAAAAGCGTAAAATTAAAAGTGGGGAGGAGGGAGGGGGAACCAAACGGGTCAAAAGTGAAAAAAAAAAACAAAAACAAAATCAATAGGAAAGAATAGTGAGTGTACAAATGGGAATCTCAAGATTAGGGGTGTTCAAATTTTTAATTATCCACAAATTCTAACTTTATTTTATTTTATACGTCTTTATTGATTGACTATCCAAAAAAATTGGGTAGACCAACGAAAGATTTTTTGGTATTTTATAAAAAATTGAATAAAAATGCAGAATGCATACAAAATTTTTATATTCTTACTGCACTCTACCGACATATATATATGTTAATCCCTAAAAGTTAAAATTCAAAAATCTAGAAAGTCTAATGTTTTATTAATGTTGATGACCTTTTTATATATAATATATTAATATTTATGGTTTTCTTGTTGTGTTTTATTGTAATTGTTTATGTATTATTGAATTTATTATGTTTTTCTTAGTATTATTGGTTTATTGTGTTAGTTAATTGGTGCAGGTTATTTAATTAAATTGTTAAAATAATTCAAAAGTTAATAACTAAAAAATATATGTTCACCTAATTTTCTATCCGATTGTTTTAGATGAAATACAAGTAAGAATAATACACTTGATCGAGTAGAATAGGCAAAAAAATTCTTTTTTATAAAATATTAAGAAGAAAAAATATAATTTCCACGGATATCACTACTCAAGAGTAATAGAAGCACAAATTGGAAATTGCCACCATGCACAAAATCATATCTTTTAAAAAACAACAACTTGTGCAAGTGGGTTCACGTTATGTCCAACTTGTGCCTTTGACCTCGGATGAGCACCCGGACTTTTTCTAATTATAGGGGAAACCAACTTGATCCTTATCGTTGAGAGTCAAAATAAAACAACAACACAAGGTTCAAATTATCGGTTTTAAACGATCGAAACGTTCGAAATATTTCTGTTTTTAAGGAGATCGAAATAAAATAGTGATGAAATCAAAATTTTGATATTTCAAGGTATTTCATAATATTTTTAAATGTATTATAATATTTAAATACATTTGTGCAATATTTTATAATATTTCAAGGTATTTCAAGATATTTTGATATATTTCTATCAATATTTTAAAAAAATAATTTTTAAATTTTTTATTTTTTTTATTATGTTTTCAAAACTGGTCAAAACGTTTCCGAAACACGTCGAAACGTTTCTGTTTTCTAGGTAACTGAAACAATACACCGAAACGATATTTTGATTATTTAAAACAAGCAATCATGTATATGCATTAATCGAATCGAGTTAGTCGATTTCGAGTATATTCAAATTTGATTTAGTTGGAATCGACTAAACTTAACTATCAAATTTAATTTTTTTTTATTTTTCTAATTAAATTTAACTTGATAAATGCTTGTAAGCATTGAGAGCTGAAACCAAAGGTCAATTTGTAGCAAAAAAAATTTTAAAACTTAAATCTAAATCTAAATATTCAATTTCTTGTAAAAATATCGCAAATCGTGAACAATCAACCTTGAAATTAAACTAGAAAAATTTATATTACTCCATAATTCATGGGAATAAAGAAAAAGAAAATTGTATATCCTCTGGAGTTATATATAAAGATGAATTTAGAGCTTATCTTTTAGATAAGGACAGTCTAGTAATAAATTAAGAAATATTTATTCCCTAATATTTATTCCAGCCTAGCCTATTCTTTTGAGCTATACATTAAAGTGTCGTTTGGTTGCAATATTAAATAATGGATTGCAGAATTATAATAAATTAAAACTCTTTAATTTAACTTTATACTATATTTGGTTGAAAAAATACTTTGTATTATATATTGTCTTACTTTAAATGCTTATACAAATAATATATTATATCCGTACTATTGAGCCGATTATAATATCACCTCCCTTGGTGATATGTAATTAGTTCAAGCGTATTAAATTATATAAATTTATTATTTTACGTACTAAATAAATAAAAATATTAATAACTGGACAAAATTAATTTTGTTTTGATCAAATATGTAACTAATACTCTATAATCTCACTTTTAATTCAATTTCTTATCAAATACTGAATTAGTAATATTTTTGAACAAATCAAAATCAATTCAAACTTGAGCTGCTTAAATCATTCAAACAACCCTTGCACCACAATTCTACTCAAGTCCAAAAAGCTTTACATCAAACAATGTAGTCAATTCACTTTCGTGGTCCCATATCCTTTACCATCGTTGTTTATATTGAATTATTAATTTAGTCCCATCCTATCCTTGTGCTGAACTCACATCGTGGTTACTCAAAGATAAACACGGGATAAATTGTTGATTACTTGTATGTACTAATAATGTATAATATATTATAGGGTTGTGTTTTAGTGCTTGTCATTCGCATTGATCTTAGACATAAATTTGATTATTTATTATTTATTTTTTGTTTTCGTCCCATATAAGAATTAAGTGATATATTTTACTATCGCATCATTGTCTTGATTTTTTATGACGAGAATCCCTCTTGGTCCTCATCATTTAAATGTGTGTGTATGGAATCTCCATCGGTACTTTAAGGGTATATTTGAATTGATGAATTTGATTAGACGGAATTAGAACATCAAATTCAACTCAATCCAGTCCAATGGAATTTGCATCCAAGATTGAACATTTATTTTCTTCATATCTAATGTTTGTATATCTGAATTGGGGTGTCTGTGGGACCCCATAAAAAGTAAAGTTTCCATTTGATTTTTTTGGACAAAGACATGCACATATACACCACACATCATGAGCAACTCAATGCCAGCTAAACAAAGAATAAGCCATGGTTCTAGGCTATTTTTTTAAATCCTACCATTTTATCCCACCCAAACCCACATGATAAACAAAGCCTAAGGATGGGTTTAGTTTGATTGAAACCGAATGTGTGGAGGATTATGGCACCTCATTTGGTATCAAATTAAAAATTATAATTTTTTAGAGTGCGAGTGACAATGACAAAATAAGATGATCGATTATAAAATATTGTAACTGGTCATGAAGTTAAACCTTTAAACTTAAGTCCTACATTTTAAAGATGAAGTTATAACTAGCTGAGGTTACTCATGATCGATTTTAATATTTCATCATTGATTATGAATGACCCTTAATCAGTTATAATTTCACATTTAAAAGATATAACGTGATGTTTAAAGACAGTAAATTTTGAACTAATATTAAATTTTTTAGTACCATAATCCTGTCCTTAGTATGGAAGAAAAATCACCATCTTGGAACCCCCAAAACACATAATTAGTCATGATAGTTATCATTATTCATGGAGACTTTCTTTTCTCATTGGATTTCTTTGGAAGTTAAAATTACTAAATTAGGGCGATAACAAATCGTATAATGTTTTAAATTTTACTAAATGCATATCTATCTGATATGTAAACTTATATAACCGAATTCATGTTTTTCTGAGTTTGTTTTTGTGTATAAGTTATGTTTAGTGTGTTGTTTGTGTTTAGTTAGATCCGTTTAATTTAATAAATTTACACATTTATTATCCCAATATATTAAAATTTAATATAAGTCACTAATTTTTGCCAACCTAGGGAAAAGGAAGGATGGTCAAAAAAAGTAACAAGTTGTCCTTGCCCTCCAACTCCATTTTCATACCTTACTAAACAGGGTTCAAGAGAAGCACAAATTCTAATTTGCCACGCTATCAATGATTTGTCCCAAGGAGATATCGAAAAGGTTAGTTTGATTTGCACCTATCCAAAGGGTGGGTTTGATTCGCCTATAAAATCTACACTCTTGCGACTCTTTGTCAAACACAACACAGGTGGAGAGAGCAGACCCTACGAGTACAACACAATTTTCTGTTTATTTTTGATCGGAGAGAGAGAAAAATGGCGATGAAACGCGCTGCAGTCTCTGCAATTCGAGGGTTTGCTTCATCGGGAAATTCAGCTTCATCGCTATTAACAAGAGATCTTCATGTAAGCTGTTTCATTCTTTCTTAATCTCTTATTTATTTTTCAGCAAAATGTAACACTGTCACTTCGATCACTCCGCTACCACTCCCAATTCTATACCCTGTTCTGTACTTATATTTTATTTCATGGATGGCCCTGAAAAGGGCCTACCAGATTTTCATTGGCTTCGACAGTGGTGGGACTAATTCCAAGGGTTCATATATGTTTTCGGAAATTGATCATGATATACTGACTCAGAAGGTGTAAACTTTGATTTTTTTTTTGTGTGTGAAAATGGTAATGTTGTTTGAATTGGGTGATGTTCATTTGCTTGTTTAGTTTTATTTGCATTGCTCAGTAGTGTTTGTTTCTTTGGTTATCTGGAAAAATTGGGCAAATGGGAGAGAAAAATAAGCTTCGGAATCCTTGGTTTTTCATTTCGAGTCTTGAGTAAACAAAATCTCTAGTCAGGCAGACCTAATGCAACAGTTTGAGCAGTAATTTTGTGGCGACTACCAAGTTGTGGTGTGCCAGAGCATAATACTTCATCAATAGGGGAAGGATTATGGGAGGTGGGTGGATGTTCGGACAAGTTGTTAACTATTACAATCTTTCATGTCACATCATGAACTAAAAAGTAAGGTTGTCTTTATATTCAAACCCACAACATCGAGGTAATTGAACCAATTTCAGGGAGATGTCCTCCAATTATTTATTTTGTTTTATACCCAAACATCAGCATCATCAATTGATAGCATTCTTCCATATGCTATCGTCTGCTTCATGATATTCCAATCAACAATTGTTAGTGCTCGGTGCTAGCTGTGACACACAACAACAGTAAATACAAGAATAATTAAAAGAAATTATAACCTGTAGCTGGATTTCAAACTAGTACTTCAGGTGTGGTGACCTCTAATCCCAATATAACAAAGAAGCCTCATTCTTTATAATAATGTTTACTATTTCTTGTTTGACAGGCTTCATCTGGAAGCAAAAAGATTGTTGGTGTCTTCTACAAGGCAAACGAATATGCTGCAATGAATCCCAACTTTGTGGGATGTGTGGAGAATGCTTTGGGCATACGTGAGTGGCTGGAATCAAAAGGCCACCAGTACATAGTCACTGACGACAAAGAAGGACCAGATTGTGGTAAGTAGATGGACACCAAAAGTCATATAATGCATTATAGCCTTCAACCAACACAGACCTGAATAAGTTTGAACACGGATCCCATCATGTTTTCTAATAGTGCACATTACATCAAGTAGATGGATCAGTGCATGTTTAAAAAAAACTGACATAATTGACATTGATGCCTGTTGAATTCATTTATAACCAATATAGGAAGCGACCAAGGGAGAGTATAAGGAATAAATATGGCTTATCTAGATGAGATGTAGTTGTCACTTGTTCTATTTTCATGGTTATGGGGAATGTTAGTTTTATGTACAAGAAATTGTGGGTAATTTTCTTCCACACTCACCCTCGCTGATTGTCAGATAAAAATAGTAGTGGCAGCAGATTCAGAAATTAATATTATTTTTTTTGTATTGAATTGTGAGTGGAGGTAAATTTGGTCAAGTTTTCAGTATGCAATTATAAATGACCTGACAATGTTAGCATTCTCTTCTGATTGTGGGGCTTCTCATTTGCAGAACTTGAGAAACATATTCCTGATCTCCATGTCTTGATAACGACCCCTTTTCATCCGGGCTATGTTACGGCTGAAAGGATCAAGAAGGCAAAAAATTTGCAACTGTTGCTTACAGCTGGAATTGGCTCAGATCATGTTGACCTAAATGCTGCGGCCGCTGCTGGTTTAACGGTTGCAGAGGTCACTGGAAGTAATGTTGTTTCAGTGGCAGAAGACGAACTCATGAGGATCCTCATTCTCGTTCGGAACTTCTTGCCTGGCTACCATCAGGTTATCAAGGGGGAATGGAATGTTGCAGGTATTGCTCACAGAGCTTATGATCTCGAAGGCAAGACTGTTGGAACCGTCGGTGCTGGACGTATTGGCAGGCTTTTACTTCAAAGGTTGAAACCTTTCAATTGTAATCTACTTTACCATGATCGTGTCAAGATGGACTCTGAGTTGGAGAATCAAACTGGGGCAAAGTTTGAGGAAGATCTTGATGCAATGCTTCCTAAATGCGACATAATTGTCATCAACATGCCTCTAACAGAGAAAACAAAGTAAGGACTTCTTATATTTGAACAACCTTGCAATTTTACTATTTCCGAGTTTATCATCTAGAATCGAAAATTTTTAGACGATTGTATGAGGTGATTGATATACTTTCTGAGGATGGAGAAGTATAAACTCAACCTCTGGCTTTGATTGTGAGAGGTTTTGGGTTTGATGCTTAGCATCTTTGTGGTGCAATAAAACATGTGAGTCCCATTGTTTTGTTCATTTTAGAAGTTAGGGCAGCCAAGCATGAGAAGCTGGGATTGACGCTGAAGATAGCTACTTGGCACCAAAAATGGTTAGACTATGGCTACACCTCTTTTACACCTCCCATGGACCACACCCAGGACTGATTGGATCAAGACCTGGTTATTTTTGCTTAGCTGAGGGAATCTTACCTCTTGGATCAGCCACAAGAAGCTTAAAGTAGTTTAAATTAGGTCTGTACATGCCACAGGACAAGGCGTCTGTGATAATCATGACTGGTGGGCTGTCAATTGTAGGTACGGGTGTAAGAAAAATCTTTATTTGCCGTGGGGTCATTGATTAGAGCAAAGTTCCTAGTGCTTGACTAGCATTTCAGACAAGATAAGAAGACGCATTTTAATTAACATATGTTTAAAATACCACGTTTTGAGAAAAAAAAAAAACTATACTCCTGCCTACTTGGACATCAAAATGTTGCTCGAAATAGGTCAGCTTTTTCTAAATTATATCAAACAATTATGATCATTATGGTGAGTTTTCTCCAATAGTTGACATGTTTTGGCAAGCCAACTTATCAGAATTGTGATTTTCTGATTCAGAGGGATGTTTGACAAAGATAGGATTGCCAAGTTGAAGAAGGGAGTGCTGATTGTCAACAATGCACGAGGAGCAATCATGGATACACAAGCAGTTGCTGATGCTTGTTCCAGTGGACACATTGCAGGTAACGTTGAACACTCTGAAGCTTTTGGATTTGAATGCATGATGAAACATCCCCCCCCCCCCCCTCCCTTTTCCCTTGAAATTGCTTTCTTTTATGCATCCTAAATTTTCGTGGTTCTCATAAGCGGGGAAAAAGCCAGAAAACAAAAGAGAACTTTACTGAGATGATCTAGTTAACTTATCCATGAGAATAAAGGGGCCAAAAGAACGGTTTTGAGTCTCTCCAACCTTTAACCATTATTTTGTCTATTGATATCCTGATCTTAGGTTACAGTGGGGATGTGTGGTACCCACAACCAGCTCCAAAGGACCATCCATGGCGGTACATGCCAAACCAAGCTATGACCCCGCATATTTCTGGAACTACAATCGATGCACAGGTATTAAATCCCTTAGACTTCCATTTTCTTTTTTTTCTTCCCCCCCTTTTTCTTTCTTTCGCTTTTTAACTGCAATTCCTACATGAAAAATGCTGCAGTTGCGCTATGCTGCTGGAGTTAAAGACATGCTGGAGAGGTACTTCAAAGGAGAGGAATTTCCTCCACAACATTACATTGTCAAGGAAGGGGAACTAGCTAGCCAGTACCGTTGAATCTGTGGTGCAGCTGGCTAAATTCACCCCTCTACAGGGCAATTAATAATACTCAGCTGAGTCAGTTTGCTGAAAAAGAATAATATTTAGCTGAGATGCTTTTGGAATAAGTAGGGTTTTCAGTTACAATGTTTTCAACAGTACTTGTAATGCTTAAGTGGTGAACTTATGTTGGTTATCATGTTATTACAACTTTATGATACATGCATGTTTTATAGTCTGGTGTGCTTTGGTTTCTGGTTTCTGGTTGTGGGTTTGTGCTTTGGTAGAGCTTCTTACCTAACATCAAGTGAGAAGATAAAGTGTCACTGAGAAACAATCTTAAAAACCTGGAGCAGATCAGGCCCAAAGTTATAAGAAATCTTTGCGTGGATGTTACACACCACGTGGCTGACCCATGTGGTTTGTTGTACATATACAAAAATTTCTCCTATTCTTGATTTTACATTATAACTTTTGAAGAAATTTTTGTATCTGTACAACACACCACCATGCAAAAACTTCTCCACGATTAGAGATAAAACGCTAATGTTTCAATAAATTTGTTTTCATTGTCTGCCAAAGGTGTTTCTTGGGTCATGCTACAGTACTAAAAAAAATCATTTTTTTTGTACTGTACCGCTAAATTACTGTGACTTTTCATTTAAGCTTGAACGTTTTAGCCATTGATCAAGAAAAAATTCTCTCCGGCCATTGAGGATCGATCCAATCTGAACGCAGCACTTGGGATCAAGTCATTGATGGATCTCTAAGCGCATTGATCCATACGATTAAACCAATCTGTGTGTTTGAGATGTGTTTACCAAATTTTGGTGAGATTTGTTAGGATCATGTTTATAATTGACTAATTTTATGAAGCTTTTTGGTAAATCTCAATATATTCTATACTAATGATGCTATAAAAGTTAAAGACCTAAATGCATCAATGGAAGGAAGGAGATCTTGCTTGAAGTAATACGAAAGGACCCTCCATATGCACGTTTTTGCTTAGGACAAAAGTAATGACCCTAGAGACCTAACAACACTTGATTTAATTTATTAGACTTAAGACAATATAAAGTTAAAATGAAATCGGTGATTAATCTGAATATGATAGGGGTCGCACTATGTTTGCTAGCCTTCACTAGAGTAGTTTTTGAATATTCTGGAGACCATCCTCTAAGTCGCTCTCAAGACGGTAGAGCAAGTCTTGAGACGGCTCGAGCGGTCCATGCTCTATTGCTATGGTTTGAATCATTTGGCAGCCACCACCCTCCCATCGCTTTCCCATTGCTCGAGCGGTTGTTTGTAACTTTATATTTTCTAGGCCCCTTTTTTCGAGCCTATTAATAGCGGGTGTATATCCTATGCTAGGGTAAGACTCTTGAGAACAAATTTAGCCTATCTAAAACCTTGAGAGGTTGTAAGCAACCCTAAATTCCTAAATCCAAAGGCTAACCCATCTTGTGATTCCTATCCAAGCTCACACATTATAGAAGAAGATCTTGATTGATTCTACCAAAGCCAATTGTTGAGTATGCATACCAAGTATCTTGGTAGAGAAGATTGCTCGAGGCCTACGTAAACCGTGCGGTGGGAAATTCCAGTGAAGTTATCCATGACGTCAAAGAGGGAGTTCCGGTGGAGAAGTTTATTGAAGGAAATGAGCATTTGATCATGGTATTAGTTGACATATAAACCAATGGGCCTTTAATCCAATGATACTCTTTGTCGTGTAAAGGTTTTGCCTTCTTGAGATCAAGGGTTCAAGTCCCTCTCCCCCTCCCACTCCCACTCCCACTCCCAAAAAAAAAAAAGTTGACATATAAATCTCAATACTTGTAAACTGACTTTAGAACAGTATATTAGACTTTAGTAAACTCTGAGTGATTCCCCATAATTTTTCCCGAGGAGAGTTTCTACGCCAACAAATTGCTTGTGTTCGTAATGTTTATTTTTATCTACCCTTATAATTTGATGCACACATAGGCACTATATTTTTGTTGATTTGATTGTTTGAATATTTATATCATAATAGTGGTTAGGTAGTGAGTTTGCTGTCTTGGGTGGGATTGCCTTGAGAGATTGTGTGTTAATCGTAAAATTAACAAATTCATTACACCAATCTTCTTGGATTTTTGGGTTGTTCTTGTTAAAGGGGTTCTCACACTTAATAGCTACAACCTTTGGGTAATTGAGGTAGACAAAGGTTAATAATTGGTAGTTGTCCAATTGAAATTCCAATTAACCTATTCACCCCCTTCTATGTAGTGTCTAGCATCCCACATGTTTCATCATAAGGGAAGATATGTAGTATCTCACCGCCAACAAGTTTACCACTCAAAAAGTGCACTATTTACCATATTTTGGAGGAGGTGAGATTGCCAACATTTGAGACCACTGTTTGGGGTAAGGTTACAACCTTTGGGGTGTACTTACCGCTTTTTGGGGTGAGATTACTACATTTGGGGTGCATTACTATCTTTTGGGGGTGAAGTTACCACTTTATGGGTGCACTTACTACTTTTGGAGTGAGGTTACCACCTATTGGGATGAGATTACTCGATTTTGAGGTGAGGTTATTGCTTTTTAGGATACAGTTATCACCTTTTGTGGTGATGTTACCACCTTTTAGGATACAATTATTACTTTTTTTGGTGAAGTTACCACAATTTGGGGTGAGGTTTCAAATTTTTAGAGTACAGTTTTAACTTTTTAGGGGTGAAATTTCTACCTTTTTTAGGGTAATGTTACCACCTTTCGAGGTTGGGGGTGAGGTTGCTACCATTTGGGGTGAGGTTACTACCTTTTGGGGTGACATTACCAACTTTTAGGGTATAATTATCACCTTTTGGGGTAAGGTTACCACTTTTTTGGGTGATATTATCACATTTTGGGGAAAGATTACCAATTTATGGGGTTCACATACTATCTTTTGGGTTGAGATTACCAACTTTTGGGATGCACTTACCATTTTTTGGAGAGAGATTACCTATTTACTGGGTTCACTTACCACCTTTTGGGAGACATCTTCACCATTTGAGTCCTTTTATGGGAAACTTGCAAGATGTCCCATTCTTTTTTGGAGGTTTCACAAGTAACTGTCCTTTAAAACTTATTCAATATCACGACATTGAATATCAAATCAAGCCTTTCAAGTTTCATCCCGACATATTACACTCAGATTTTGTCCAAGTATTGTAAAGTTTTAGTTCAACGACCAGCTCATCACCTTTAATGGGGGTAGTGACCATCAGAGGGCTCCAACCTTCTAGCTCATACAGCCACACTCGCTCATCAAGTGATTTAAGAAAAGTTGTCATCCGAGCTTTCCAATAAGCATAATTTATCCGATGGAAAAATGGTGGTCATGTTATTGAACCTCAATCTTTTTAAAAACCCATTAGCAACTAACTAGTAGTCGCAATAGATCCCAAATGAGCAAAAACTAGGTAATATAAGCAAAAATGCAATGTTGGCCTAAGTTAAATCCTATAGGGAGACACGCTCTGATACCAATTATAAAGATAAAAATGATATCCTTGTGCAAAATGGATCGTCCCTCACAATTACACGCGTGAGATTAAGCACTACCTAGAGGGGGTGAATATGTTAATCTCAATTTTGATTGAACAAACACCAGTTTATAACCTATACAACCACAATTACCTCTTTCTCAAAATAATTTAACAATTAATAATTGTGAACCCCTTTTAAAAAGAACAACCCATAAATTGTATGATGATTAGTGTAATGAATATGTTGATTTGACCGACTGACATTCAATCACTCACAGTGATCCCATCCTAAGACAATAACCCATTACCAAACCACTGTGGATGATGCAAACATTAAACACATAGTGCACGTGTGTGTTACAAATCACAAATGTATCAAATAAAGTAATAAAGAACACAAGAGATTTGTTGACGTAGAAATCCTCATGGGAAAAAATCACAGGAAACCACTCAGGGTTTACCAAAGCCTAATCCACTATTCTATAATCAATCTACAAGTACTTGAGTCTTATCCCTTAGCAAATATCATGGTTATAATCTTCTTTCCTTCAATAGATCTCTCCACTAGATACACCCACCAATGTCGTGGATAACTTCACTTGAACTTCCCACTGAACAGTTCGTTTAGATCTCAAGCATTGTTAGGACAGACTCAAGAATATCAGTATGCACAAATGGGGTAGAACCAAACAAGTTCTTCTCTCGTGTGTGACGTTGGATAGGAATCACAAGATGAGTTTTGATCTTTTGAATTTATGGATCTAGGGTTGCTCAATGATCTCTTAAGGTTAGAAAATCAGCTCACAAGAAACATACCCTAGCTTGGGAAGACTCTCCATTTATAGGTTCAGAATAAGGTTTGTCTTGGGACTAAGAATACACAAATTTGTAAACAACCGCTCAAGTAGTGAGAGAGCAGTGAAAGGTTGATGCCTAATGGAATGAAAAGAGAATTCAGGGACCACTCGAGCGACCTCATCACCGCTCGAGCTGTCTCAAGACCAAGCGGCCTGAGAGTGACTCAAAGGGCGGTCTCCATTGCCAATTCATTCAGTCTTTCTCAATTTTATTCTTAAGAGTTCAAAAAATGCTCTAGCGTAGGCTAGTGAACATAGGGCGGTATCTATTGGTTTTTAAGTTATAAATCAAGCAAAAATTTGTCCCACTGAGCACTAAATGATGTTGTTCAAGTGGAGTCCAATTAATGACTCAAGTCTATGTTTTTAAAACACATTTAAGGTTTAAAAAAAAATTTCTTGAAAAACACCTAAGAGCCATTAATGGAACAATCACCGATTTTGTTTTACCTAATCAACCTAAGCCTAATAAATTAAACTAAGGGTGCTAAGGTCTCTAATTCATTACCTTTGTTCTAAGCAAGAATGCACATATATAGAGTCTTTGGATGTAACTTGAAGTACAATCTCCTCTCGTCTATTGGCACTTTCAGATCTTCAACGTTGTAGCATCATGGTAATAAAATAGGTTGAGATTTATAAAAAATTTCATGAAATTAGTCAATTACAAATATGATCCTAACATAACGATTTGTACAAGTTATACGCATCAAGTTCAAATATAGAAAGGTTTTTTTTTATAATTTTTAGAGGGCACGTGTCCCTTAAGGACCCCCTACTTGTCAGTATAGTACCGAAAAATAGGGTTGCAGTATTGAAGTGTAATCCAGTGTTTCTTTATGATGAACAAAAATCTGTCCTGAAATCACATGTAGGGACCATTTT